GTATATATATATACTTTAAATAAAATTCTCCTTTTTAATTTTATTGGTGCACTTTAAGTGCATTTATTAGTCAATTTGTCTATTTACGCTTTTGTTTTTAATTATGTCAGTTTCAGTCCTCCATACTGCAGAACTTGGTAATTCAATGTCTGAATCAGGTGTGTTGGAGCAGGGAAAAACATAAAACCTGCAGGGCTGCGGCCCTCGAGGGCCAGGATTGCCCACCCCTGGTTTAGAATATAATTTCCATAAATTCTGCAGTAGTATTTTAGTCAATTTGGCAAATAATTGATGAAAAAGCTGAAGTATCTGCATCACTTGGGAGAAACATCCTGATCTCCACCCTGAGATCTGTGTGGTTTTCTGTGTTCAGAACGACAGGGCCACGACCCCCCACTAAATAAATAAATAAAAATAAAAATATCCTGTCTGCATGGGACACTTACATGAAACCAAATCCACGTCCTCCGGTCATGCTGACAGCTGGCATGTGTGTGTGGATGAGGAAATTAGGAGTTTAGTCTCAACACACTGGCATGACTGCTGCAAACACAAAACACAGCTCTGAAACATTACATTAAATTCTGACCTGTTCACATTATTGGATCGGGGTTGTTTAAGGTCATCCTGGGAGACGGAGATCCAACGAGTAAATTAGTCTGGGWTAACTTCATTAAGACTGGATTATTTAATCTGGAGTGGAGTCGATCTGAGGTGTGTGTAGAGTGGACTTGGTGGTTGTGTTCTTGAATGCAGCAACACTCTGAGCAGCTCACAGCCTGTCTCTGGTTTCTCTCTCTCTCACACACACACACACACACACACACGCTGACGTGAAGCCAGGCTCCAGTGGTTGGACGCTCTGTCAGATTTAGATGTCTAATTACTGTTATAACCTTAGAGAACCACATATTTGTCAGTGTTCGTCCCCGAGTCTGTGTGAGGCGTTTAACCTAAAAATACACACACACACATATATAATATACGTGTGTTTAACATGTTCATGGCAGTGACAGGTAGGTCGTGTTTCTGCTTGTACACCGATACAGTCTAAATACAGCAGGCACATCTCACATCTCCTTCTAATCAATCAATAAGGTGTTGAACTCTGCTCAAGAACAGTTGAAAGTCAACTCTGGGCTTTGTGAGATCTTTCTCTGGCCTTATAGCGCCATCTAGTGGGAAAAGAGGGGAGTTTCTTTAAAATATTAAATTATGAGAAATAAAAACAGCAACATAAAGGCTAAAGAAATTAAAATTTTTGGACAAAACAAGCTGTAAGAATCCAGAGTGATAAATTAGTTTGCTCAAAAATCAGTTGAACTTAATGTAAAAGCAGGAAAGCAGCAGCTAAAAGTTTCAGAAGCCAAAAACTGAACAGTAGCTAAAAGGTAAACGTTGCAGCACAGAAAACAATAAAAGCCAAAGAAATGTTACATTTAAAAAACAGCTGCTAAACATTAAATTAGCAATTCAAACACTGAAATTTGTAAAATAGAGACTATATTTAGCATGAAAGCTGAAGAACAGTAAGTACAAGCTAAAAGTAGCATCAAGTTGGCTATAATACCCCTGATGTTACACAAATAAAGCCAGATTTAAGAAAAAAATCAAAAAAGTTGTAATGTTTTCCAGTAAAAAAATAAATACTCAACTCTTTTGTCTCAGGAAGATGTTTCAAGTTACTAAAAATTAAAACATTACAACTATTTATTTATAACTCAGGTAATTTCAGATCAAAAGAAAGGCATAATAATGTCAAAACTGGTTAAGATAATTTGAGATTAAATCAAAATGTTTTGTGTTTTTAGTGAAACATAATACAATGATGAAATGCAGTTCATACTATTTTGTTTACTAGAATAATTGCACTGTTTGTCTAGTGTTGAATGTGAAAAGCAACCAGAGTTTTAAACAAGTTCTTTTTCAGTCCTGAATAAAAAATTTACCATTTTGAAAGAAAATGCAGTGTAAACGCTGAAGATGCTGAAACCAAGTTGTTAAAATTCAACAAATCCCAATGAGAACACAGATGAGAAAACACAAACATGCTAACTCCACACACAGAAAGAAACAGGAATCAAACCCTGGACTGTTTTGATGTGAGGCTTTAGTGCTAACCACTAAACCACCTTAACGCCACCACAACTACAGCAGAACATTAAAGCAAACCAGCCAAACTGGGACTATCCTTCCATTTTTTTTCTATACCTTTTCCATGCAGAYTTACAGGAACTTCTCTCCCCACAGACTGGCTGCAGGTGGGAAGCAAACCAGCAACCTTTGTCTGTGAAGAAACCGCTCTGTCCACTGCACAACCATGACAAACTGAAAAGTCACTAAAATATACAATTAGCAATGCAGTAATTTAAAAACAGGCAATGAAAAGCTAAAATCTGCAAACTGGTGAAGTTAGCATAACTACAGCTAATAGCCAAGAGTTAGCTATTAGCATAACTACAGCTAATAGCTAACTTGGCTAAAAGATAAACATAAGATGCATGCTGCACAATGATCGCAAGTGAAAACAAAATTAAAAATACCATTATACACAGTAGTAGCATTTCTAAACGAAGTGCAAACAGACTTTACTTTGTATTTCTTGGGCAACATTTCATAAAATAAATCCACAATCAGACATTTCAGGATTCTTTTAATGAATATGCAAAAAACTTGGGACACGTTTCGTGGCACAAATGCACTTCGACAAGTTTTCAAATGGAACAAAGAGAGACAAAAAATATATATATAAAACTTTTATAATACACACATTTATAGTACTTAAATAAACAAAACTCCGGACGAAGTTAACCCACACTTGAGAACAGAACCATTTAAATAACTTGACTTTTCAACAAAGAGGGTTAACACTTTTATAAATGAGTGCAAATGTTTACAATTTAACAAGGAAAATTAAGACAAAAAATAAAACAACAACAAACAAGTCCACAGTTACAGTATGAGGGTCTTGTTTGTTTTTTCTACTCACGTGTGCTTTGAATCAGTCACTTTAAGTTCAAGTAAAAATGTTTTACTACAAAAAACATGTTCTCATGGAGGTTTGACTTTCACTCTTTTGTTTTTATTTTCGTTATTTTGTTCCTCGAATCCTGCGCGTCCCGAGTCATGGCTCTGTTTTTAATAATCCCAGGACACTCTGGAGGAGACACACTCTCTCTCACACACACACACAGTTCATCTCTGAAGAATGTAAAAGTATTTCAGTATGTACAAAGAGCTCGAACACTCTTCTTTCCCTTTCAGGTACAGTAGTAAATATTGCAACTTTAACATCTTTGTTCGTCYGAATGATCCTCGTTTGTTCGCCGACTGCTGAGTCATTGTCAGGATTTTATGAATCTGTATCAGAAGAAAAACAACACAAATATTTAGAAACCAAAACAGAACGTCATTTACATTAAAAAAAGATAATATGAGAGAGACAGCACTCCAGAGTTTTTAAACGTGGGCTTAGATCTGTTTTAATGAGGTCGTTCATTTACAGAGGGCTGCGAAAGTTTGGGCAGCCTTGTTAACTTTCCTGATTTACCTTTATAAATCATTGATTGTTTAAAAAAGTTAAATATATCATATAGGGGACAAACACAGTGATATTTGAGAAGTGAAATGAAGTTATGATTTACAGAAAGTGTGCAATAATTGGTTAAACAAAATTAGGCAGGTGCATAAATTTGAGCACCAAAAACAAACAAACAAAAAAACCCTTAACTCAATATTTAGTAGCTCCTCCTTTCACAGAAACAACATTCTCTAAACACTTCCTACAGCTTCTAATGAGAGTCTGGATTGTGGCTGAAGGTATTTTAGACCATTCTTCTTTACAAAACATCTCTAGTTCATTCAGGTTTGGTGATTTCTGAGCATGGACAGCTCTCTTTAAGTGACACCACAGATTTTCAATAATATTCAGGTCTGAGGACTGAGATGGCCATTCCAGAACGTTGTACTTGTTCCTCTGCATGAATGCATTAGTAGATTTTGAGCAGTGTTTAGGGTCGTTGTCTTGTTGGAAGATGCAGCCCCAGCTTCAGCAGCTTCAGCTTTGTCACTGATTCCTGGAAATTGGTCTCCAGAATCTGCTGATATTGGTTGGAATCCATGCRTCCCTCAACTTTAACAAGATTCCCAGTCCCTGTACTGGCCACACAGCCCCACAGCATGATGGAACACATTTCACTGTAGGTAGCAGGTGTTTCTCTTGGAGTGCTGTGTTCTTTTCCTCCATGCAGAACGGCCCTTGTTCTGCCCAAATAACTATTTTAGTTTCATCAGTCCACAGCACCTTATTCCAAAATGAAGCTGGCTTGTCCAAATGTGCTTTAGCAAACCTCAAGCAGCTCTGTTTGTGATGTGGGCGGAGAAAAGGCTTCCTCTGCATCACTCTCCCATACAGCATCTCCTTGTGTAAAGTGTGCTGAATAGTTGAACGATGCACAGTGACTCCATCAGCAGCAAGATGATGATGTAGGTCTTTGGTGCTGGTCTGTGGGTTGACTCTGACTGTTCTCAACATCCTTCACTTCTGTTTATTCCAGATTTATCTTGGTCTGCCACTTCCAGCCTTGACTTGAACTGTGCCTGTGGTCATCCATTTTCTCACAGTGTTTCTCACAGTGGAGACTGAAAGCTGAAATCTCTCAGATAGCTTTCTGTATCCTTCCCCTAAACCATGACGGTGAACAGTCTTTGTTTTCAGCTCATTTGAAAGTTGTTTTCAGACTCCCATGCTGTGACACTTCAGTGAAGATGCAAATAGGAGAAAAACTTACAACTGCCCCCCTTAAATACCCTTTCTCATAATTGGAGTCACTGTATATGGAGGTCAAGGGTCRCTGAACTTACCAAACCAAATTTGAGTTCCAATAATTAGTTCTAAAGGTTTTGAAATCAATAAAATGAAAACGGTGCCCAAATTTATGCACCTGCCTAATTTTGTTTAACCAGTTACTGCACACTTTCTGTAAATCATATCAACTTCATTTCACTTCTCTAATATCACCGTGTTTGTCCCCTATATGATATATTTAACAGATTTTTTTATCCAAACAATCAATGATTTATAAAGGTAAATCAGGAAAATTAACAAGGCTGCCCAAACTTTCGCACCCCACTGTAATTTAATTTAATTTGTCTCTATGTAACAGTGTTCATATTTTTCCATTTAAAAATAACTGCTTTGAAAAAAATATTATCTAAGCAACTATTCTAGTGTAAATTATGTTTAAGTAACAACTAACAGGCAGCCAGACAAGAAATCTAACAATAACTAGAGAAATTACATTTCCTGCAAAAATGCTAGTGTGACTGCTTCTTGCTGAAAATGTAACCTCCTGAAATTGAGCTGAAAATATTTAATAGCGAAAAGTGTTAATGCAAGTTCAAATTTAAATAGTTGAAAGAAGCAAAAAAAGCCTAACTTTGCAGAAAAACAGTAAAAAGGAGCAAAATATAATTGAAAAAGAAAAAAACTGCTAAAAGCTAAAATAGCTGTATAGAGCAGAAAACATCTGTAAGAAGCATAAATACCACAAATTTGCAGAAAAAAAAGCACAAACACTAGAAAACAAGCAAAAGAATATCCAAAAGAAGTAGATCTATAGCTAAAATAGCAAACAAAGCTAAAATTAGCATAAAATAAGCTAAATGTAGCAGCCAGAAGTTGTAATTAGCACCCAAATAGTGAAAGAAATTTAAAATAAACAGAAAAAAATGCACAAAAGTACTAAAAAAAACAGCCTAAATTTTCAGTAAAACAGCTAAAAAGTAGCTGGAAATATTTTAATTAGCATAATGAACCATGAGGAGCTTAAGGTTATAATAGCTACAAACACTGTGTATTTAGTTTAGAAAAAGCTCACTTTAGTTAATAACAGCTGGAAATTAGCTAAAGTTGCAGCAAATAGATGAAAATACCAGAAGGCACATGTAAGGAGCAGAATTAGAACAAGTTTGCAGAAAAAAGCACAAAAAAGTAGGAAAAAAAACAGAAGAAGAGTAGAATAAAGGTAAATTTTAGCTGAAATAGCAGAAAAAAGCTCAAATGAGCAAAAACGTAGCAATAATTATCCGAAGGAAGTTAAAAAGGGCAGAACCAGAAGAAAACGTGTAAAGTCTGTAAAGATTTAGAAACATTTTAAAGGATTTTAAGGATGTTGAAAACAGCTCCATTTATTTTCAATGGCAAAAAATTGGCTAAAAAAGGGAAATAGCTGAAAAAGTAAAAATAGCCGAAATACCAAATGTCATAGCAGGATTGTCATAAATGAGCTGCACATTTTGATACATGAATTGTTGAAATACCACAAAAACTGTRGCACTGAGTTAGATGCTGAAAAGCATACGGAAGAAAAAAATGATCTCAGTAGTGTGATTAGCTCATCTGTAACGACTGAATGACTCTTACCTATGACTTCAGGTGTATCATCAGCCAGGGATTCAGAGTTCATAACATACTTCTTGCCAAATATCTGCAACATCTGGTCAAAAAACTTGCACTCCTGTCTCTCTCCTCTGAAAATACGACACAACGTTAGAATAAAACCTGCAATTAAAAACAACCAATCAGATGCTTTCATCAGTGGACTGGGCTTACTGTCGTCCTTCCAGGAAGTGTTTGAAGGTGGCCCTCAGCCTCTTGATCCTGGACTGGCACTGCTCAGGCGTGCGCTGGTAGCCCTGGCTGGTCATGGCCTGAGAGATCTGCTTGTACATGTGTTTGTTCTTGGCGGTGCTCTTCATATTCTCCTGGATCTCCTCGCTCCCCCAGATGTCCAGCAGGGTCTGGGTCTCCCTGTCGCCCCATGCCTGTTTGGAGCTGTCGGACGTCCACTGGTTTCCTGCAGCGGCTGAGCCTGCCAGATCAAAATAAAATATCGATAAACATCTAGCAGGTTTAAAGGAGATTTTAAGATAAAGTTTAAAAAAATAAGTGTTCTGTGCAACAACCTTTCGCTTGGCTCGGTTCAGACACGCAGTCGTCGTCTTCAACGCCAGGTGATGTTTCGGCAACAGATTCGTCCACACTCAACTCCTTCCTGAAGATCTTATCCATCTCGTTATAGAATTTAAATTCTGCCCTGAAATTAAATACAAAATAAAGAATTTAAAACTAAATACATCCCATTTTCTCAGAGCAACTTTAAACTAAAGGTGTCACAAAATAAACGAGAGAATTTGCATTAAATGAGAAAACTGTTATAACTTAATGCTAAAAGCTAAAAAAATGAAACCAGACTAAAATAGCTTTTAAAAAAGTAGCTGAAATTAGCACAAAAAAAATAGAAAAGAGCATGTCTGCAGAATTAAGCAATAAGAAGTTAAGGTTTTAGAAAAAAGGTGAATTTAGCCAACACTCCAATTAAGCTAAAAACACAAAAACAGCTGAAATAAGCAGAAAACAGCTGGAAGCAGCACAAAAAATGCATTTAGCAGAATAGCAGAAAAGATCAGAACGATAGCTAAAAAAAAGCAGGAAAAAGCTAAAATCAGCTAATTAGAAGCTGAAGGAAGAGGAAATTGGCTCAAAGAAGAAAAGCAGAACTAGAACAAAAGGTAAAAAGTAAAAATTTATAAATACTTTAAGGATCTTGAAGACCGCTCCAGTCGTTTTCTATGAGAAAAACAAGGCAGAAAAAGCTAAAAATCTCAAAAATTTTGGATTATTGAAGTACCAGAGATGATAACAGGAATGCCCTGAACTAATTGAATGGTTTGATATTTAAATTGTAAAAATAACACAAAAATTGCAGAACGAGATAAATCCTGAAAAACTTACAGGGGAAAAAATGATCTCATTAGCATGAGACAAATGTGTTTATAAGGAACCTACAAGAAAAGGCTCCTTGTGTACCGGATGAATAAAAACGTTGGTTTTGTCACTAACTTTTCGTGGACGAAGCCGTATTTTAGGCGCTTTATGCGAGTGTAGCACTGCTCTGTGGTCCGGATGAACCCGTGGTTGCCCATCTTCTCCGAGATGTAATCAAACACGTGTCGGTTCTTCAGGCAGCCCCTCAGGGTCAGCTGCACGTCGTTCTCGCCCCAGATCTCCAGCAGCGTGCGGGTCTCCAGGTCCGACCAGGGCATCTTTCTGCTCATGTCGGTCAGGAGGTGGCTGGTTGAGGGCTGCTCAACTAAAACAGGAAACCGGAGTTTTGAGTAATGAATGACGCTGCGTCCTGCGTTATTTAAACAGATTAAACCTACATAAGCCAGGATCGGCATCCATGAGGTGGTCTAATGCAGCGTCAGCCACAGAGCTGTCAGCATCAGTAAACATCAGGTCATCACCGAGCACCGGGGCAAGAAGGTTAAAGTACCGGAACGCCGTGGGTCGCCCTCCATTTCTGGGAAACACAAACTCTTAGTCAGAAGAAAACAGCACGCTGCTAATACTAAACCCAGTCGTTAAATTAACCTCCGGTTGTTGCAGTGTCGTCGGTACGTCTTCTTCAGACGCCTGATCCGRGTCTGACACTGCTCCGCGGTCCTCAGGTAGCCCAGCGCCGCCATTTTCTCTGCAATCTCTGCAAATATGTGCCCGTTGCGGACGCAGGTCTTCAGGCTGTGCTGCACGTCRTCAGCGGCCCACACCTCCACCAGAGCCATCGTCTCCTCGTCCGTCCACGGTGCGTTCAGGCCGTCCGTAACTCCTGCAGCGGGCACAACCAAAACATCCAGTTATAGGAGGGTAGCCTTTTAGTAAGGTGGACATGTGTAAAAATATCCGACTGGTACCTGGATCCAGGTCGGCTTGCTCGTCCTGTTCATCGTACTCGTCTAGAGAAGTTACCTCCTGTCCCAGGATTTCTTCCAGATGGGGGTAGAACTTATAATCTACTTTTTTCCCACTTCTAATAAAAAAATAAAACAGTGGTGTTTGTATTGGATTTAAAAAAAAAAAGAAAACAGAGAGAGAGCTCACTTTTTCCTCTCGTAGCCCTGCTGGAAGATGATCCTCAGGGACTTGACCTTTGAGTGGCACTGATCTGGGGTTTTGGAGAAGCCGAGGTCGTGCAGCCGCTCGGAGATCTCCGAGTAAACRTGCCCGTTTTGGATGAAACCCCCGAGCGCCTTCTGAACGTTCTCCTCGCCCCAGATCTCCATAAGGGCTTGCGTCTCCTTTTCTGACCACGAGCCATCCGCTGCTTCTTCTGTCGACTCTCTGGCTTCTGTGTCTAACGTTAGACACAAAATACTTCAGGATTCTCTTAATCTCACATGAAGTACTGCAATCATTTTAAAATAGCCACTACAGCCTGAACTAGGGCTGTGTATTGGCATGAATGTGGTGATTTGATACAATACATCAGGATATAGTGCGATACTGTAAGCAAGGCGATATATTGATATTTTTTTCCACCAAAAATTCAATTTCTAAAAAAAATCTCTATGTTTTATATGATTAGTCACACAGTGCTAATATTTGAGCTAGCATTAAACTCTCTGTCTCTTTAGGAGTGCAGCCAAATGTCGGACTGACTGCTGCCCACTAGTGGTTGGAGGCTAAATTACAACACAAGAAAGAAGCGGTGGAAAATCGACAAAGTGCTTTAGAGCAGTGGTTCCCAAACTTTTTATCTTCTGACCCACAAACTATCCATGGCAAAAACTTGTGACCCCAAATATTACTGATCCGAGTACACGAACTTCATTAATAACCCTAAAAACACAGGCTTTTGACAATCTTAACAGCTTGTACACAAATGTAAATACTTATTCATMCTTATTTTGTGTTTTTGTAATARTTATAGGGAAAATATTACCTCAGCAATTGTTTTATTACCCTTTAAACTGATTTCTGGAGATTATCCAAGGTGCTTCATGACCCATAATTGGGTCCCAAGCACAACTTTGTGAACCAAAGTACAATGGTTCCCAAACTTTTCAGCTTTTGACCCACAAAATAACAGTAGCAAAGACCTGTGGCCCCAGCTATTTTTGGATGATAAACATTTGTATCAGGTCAACAAAACATGGGCATAGTAACAATATTTTTTTACTACATTTATCCATTTTAAATATACAGTACTAACCTCACTCCTTTGTAACAACTAAGACAAAAATGTAATTAATTCAGAAAATCTTTTCAGGACCCCATCTTGATGTTTCGGGACCCCCCACTTTGGGTCCCGACCTCAACTTTGGGAAACACTGCTTTAGAGAATCGAGTATCAGGAAATGAAATATCACAACATTTTCTTACACGGCTAGCCTCCACTGGATTATTTTCATATAAATTCATTAGAAAACACATCAGAATTATTGAAAATTACAGTACAATCATTAAATAAAAGAACAAACAGCAGATATTGTTTAGTTTTAAAGAACAAATGCAGCTGGTTTACCATTTTCAGCTACTGACTCTTGGTTGGAGTCTTCTGATATTTCAATGGAGTCGGTCACCACGGCGGACGACGTTGACGGCTGCTTCTCCAGAATTTGTTCCAGCAGATCGTAGAATTTAAAGTCGACTCGATCCGTCCCTGATGAACTGTGGGAGCCAGAGCCACAGGAGTGAGAACACAGAGAAAACAAATGAGCTGAAAGCAACAAACGAATAAATGTTTTCACCTCATGTTTTCTTTACACTGGCGATAGTTCGATTTCAGCCGTTTGATCCGGGTGTGGCACTGCTCAGGGGTGCGGGTGTAACCGTTGGCGTTGAGTTTCTCGGAGACTTCGCCGAAGATTTGACCGTTGTGCGGGTAGCGCCTCGAACCCTGCTGGACCTGGGGGGAGATTTAAAGCTCACGATCATCGCGTCTGAACAAGACTAGTTTCGAAATAAATCCCTCAAATATTTGCTTTTCTTACCTGAGTTTCTCCCCAAATCTCCAGCAGGATGATGGTCTCTTTGTCGGACCACGGCACCTTCTTYCGGTCTTCCTGAACTCCCATGATGGACTCTGTGGAGACACACGGAAACCATAAATAATGTAAGCAACTATTTTCAGTGCTGTATTGACTGAATGTCTAAAGCACCTTCCAGTGTAGTAAAGGTCAGCAACAGGACAGAAATCATAAATAAGTTAAGACATATCACACTTTATTAAAAATGCAGAAACAAAGAGGGAAAAGTTCGACCTTCGCTGTTCACACAAAAATTAAAAAGGTAAGAAAAATTAATCAATAAAGAAAAATAAAGTTTAGAGGTTTATTGGTCAGCAGAAGTTCATCATTCTACAAAGAGATTCTTCACATGTGGAAAACGAGTTCCAGAAAACAGGTCAGAACTAGGGGTGTCCCGATACCGTTTTTTTCAAGACTGAGTACAAGTACGAGTACTTCAGTTTAGGTACTCACCGATACAGATACTGATACCAAAGTAGCGGGTTTCATGTGGATTATCTGTTCAACTTGTTGAATATTAAACAGAAAGAAAATGAAATGCAATTATCATAGAAAAATTGATGGGTAAATATTATGTTTGACAATAAAA